AGCGATGAAACACTTAGTAAAAGTTACACCGGTATCGTTTGAACCCTCCTCTATATATATATATATATATATATATATTATGTCAATTTTAATCTATATGAATGAGATATAAAATTATTTTAGATTAATATAAAATTTTGTATATATAATATAAAAGTAAAGAACTTTAAATCTAATAATGAGCTTTAAAAAATAATTATTTAATTGAATGAATGCATATGTGTGAGCAGGGTTTAAATGATACATCCTATTAACTATTACACTGCTCAAAACTTTCAATTAAATGTGAAGTTTTTATTAAATTAAAAGTTTCTTATTCCTAGATCATATATAAAAAAATTTATATTGATCCAAAATGATTTGATATCTCATTATTATATAACAAAAATGACATAACATATACATTTCAATATATGCTAAAATATGAACACTTTGATTATTTTCAAATTATTGTTCAATTCTAACAAAAATTGATATAAAGATATAATGTGATATGAAGTTATATTTCAATGGTTGAATGAATAAAATTCACATTTAATTTAAAGTTATTGAGTGATATAATAGTTAATAAAAGTTATACCAATGTCTTTTAAATTTTAATATATATATTAAATAACTTACAGTCTACATTGAATTTTAATGATTTAATCATTAAATTAAAAATTCTTAATGAATAGATTAAATTTATAAATTTTACATGGCTAAAACCCTAATTTGGTCCCTTATAATATTAAAAAAATTTAATTTGGTCCCACTTTAATTTTTAGTTTCAATTTAGTCCCAATTTATTTTAAAATTTTCGATGTGGGACTTCTGTCCAAATTTTACAAACGGCGTTAAAGGTCCGAGAGAATCACGGCCGTGATTCCAAATCACGGTTGTGATTCTCACGACCTGGGAACCACCTGAGATTAAGAGGTGCAAAAAGAAGTGGTGAGAATCTCTACCATGAGAATCACCGGCGTGATTTTCTCGGACCTTTAACGCCGTTTGTGAAATTTGGACAGAAGTCTCACATTAAAAATTTTAAAATAAATTGGGACTAAATTAAAACAAAAAAATTAAAGTGGGACCAAATTAATTTTTTTTAATATTATAAGGGACTAAATTAGGGTTTTAGCCATTTTACATAGTTTGAAAATGTATAATATATTTTTATTAATATATGTCAATTTAAATTAATATAATAAAATAT